GCTGAAGGGTTTAGGGGTTGAAACGGCTTAGGGCTTGGGGCTTCGGGGCTTCAGTGGCCAAGGTGCTATCAGGATTTAGAGGATGGAGTCTCAGCTTCTTGGCTCTCGGCGTTGGCGCGGATCCTGGGGCTGCAAGGATGTGTCTGCACCGCTCTTTTGCGCCCCTCCCTCCCCGGGCTCAAGGGGCAACCGCGTCGTGCAACACTTCTCTGAACCCGATAAGGTCCAAGGCCTATCTGTTAACTTTAAAGCCTGAACCTCTAAAGCCACATGTCAAGCCATACTAACCTTCAGTACACCCCAAAACCCTAAACTTGGCATTAACGTGCACGGCAACCGCTTTGGAAAACGTGCACAAAAGCCTGCGCTCTCAAAGCTCGGGGACGCCCAGAGAGTCCACGAAGAATGGGTTACACAGGGGCCTAAATTGCGGCCTAAAGAATGACTCCTAAATTCAATCCACGGTCCACGGTTCCCACATAGGCTCATGTAAGGACATTGCACTAAATAGCTAGACTAAGGCTTTGAGGTCTTCTGTACTAGCTGTATGAATAGGGGGACGACAAGGGGATTTTGTAGGTTCTTCATACTGAGTATTCCGACCTCGCTATCAGCTGCACTTATATTTCTGATACCGACTCCTACACTTGGGGCAAGGTCTTTAAGTAGTATAGGGGCTGAATAATCATAAATGCGTTTTGGGGTATATGGTACTAGAGTACAGTGAAGAACCATAGGAGGAAGCATTATACAGTAATGAGATTCAGACTGTACAGTAGGTAAAATCGATTCCCCCATTGAAAAAAAAGCACAACCCGAATAATGAAGAACATTTTCCAGGAATCCACCTGAGCCTGAAACCATCCCCCCCGCCGTTTAAACGGTGTTTTGAAGTAGGGGATGTGAAGGAAAGAGCAGGGGCAAAGAGAAAGAGCACAAGCAGGAGCGACGGCAATAGCAAGAGCAGGAGGAGCAAAAGCTGGAGCAGGAACAAAAGCTGAGCGGGGCAAGACCCTCCCCAATGTGACAGTAGAGATACAACGACACCAAATGAGTTGTTACTGAGCTGGGGTCGTTTAACATTAGGGTGAAGGGATTAGTAAAGAAGCCTAAGGAGTAGTATGTCGTATACTCTTTGTTCCAGCTGGCATATTATGTGAGGGACTCTTTGGGCCGGAAATGATCTCCCCTTCTTTAGCAGCACACTCTTGTTCAGAATGTCTGCTAGAATACCCTGCGTCGGAGGAGGCAAGCCCTAAAAGTTCTGGCCGTGCATGAGGCCAGGGGTCCTAGAAAACTATCCTAAGCCCCAAACCTAAACCCAAACCACGCGAACAGAACCTAACCCTGAAATCCTAACCCTACGCCCATATGCAGTCGAGACCGAGGTCGTCAGCCTGGAGAGGCTTCGCTCAACTGAAGACTGGGGTTTCAGGCTTAAAAGGATTAGGGTTTAGGGTTTAGGGAAGACTAGGGTTTCAGGCTTAAAAGGATTAAGATTTAGAGGTTCAGGGTGCGCGCATGGGGTTTTGGGGGTAAGGGATTAGGGATGAGGCTTTAATGGTTCAGGACTTGCTGCCTCATGACCAGCGGTTGTTTCAAGGGAATTCTGCAGCATCTTATCTTTGACAAGTCAAGAGTCGTAGCTACTGCAGCCACTAGATCTTTCTGTGGCCTAAATCTTGGCACAAAGGCCGGAAGAGGTGCTACAGGGTTCCTGTAGCAGCAGGTCAGACACCAGATACAACCTACGAAATGCTCCCTGCAATTTATGGGGTGCAAGGTTTAGGGCTAGACGGCCCCTGCGGCTGCGGTAACAAGTTCTTGCTGCCCCGTTTTCGGTGGACGGCTTAATGACTAGAAGGTTTGGAGGTATATTATAGCATCAGGGTGTATATTCAGGGTTTAGGGTTTAGGGAATCATTGACAGGCCTAACAGGTTTTGAATAGGCCTTCCTATGAATCTACAGGAGCTTTGCAAGCGTCTTTATAAAGTTCAACATGAGGCTTACAAGAAACGACCCTTGCTTGCAGTAAAGGAGCTCGCCCTGGAGGGGTTGGAGGAGAGGGAAGCCCTAAACCCCTAAACCCGGACCCCTAAACCCTAAACC